AGGTGGGTTTAGGCTCTCTGAATATTCTTGGAAGTTTGAATTCTGTTTCACCTGTGCCTTTTTATCCTTGTTATTTATGTATAGACTGTCCGTGTTAAAAATCTTCCGATATGCAACATATTTACGTAACTATTGTTAATTGTAAATAATCCGCCTTGTACCTTTGTACTTCTATTTCATTAGTGTCTCCTATTACAAATGATTTAACTCGACTCATAAGATTGGAACATTTCCAAACAGAACTGAAATAACTGGAATATGGAAATGCTTCAAGTGCACACTGTCTCAAAAGGAAAGTTACCATTTTGAAAATATTTTGTCATGAAATGATTTCTTTCATGTTCAGTTTTCCCATTTCTTTAGCATATGATCCTGTACTATGCACCGAGTTAATGTTTCAAACCTGTTAAGAAATCCACTATTTTAATCTCTGCTTAATAAATTGGACTTGTACAAATGTATATGAAACTAAACCTGCCAATTTCAGTCATGTTCGTCTAATTGGTAACATCAACTAAACAATCATGTTATTTTAGGAGTAAGTTGATAACATTCACGAATTCAAGAAATAAACTTATCAAGTTTACTTCAGTTTTAATAGTTCATGAGTTTTATTTTTGTAATGTCAAGTCAATAAATTGACACCACATATTAATAGACATTTTAGTCTTCAGGGCCCAAGCTTTGTTATGAAAACTTCTTATTAAACCATCTTCACATTTTTATTTCTAAGAACCTAATGGCAACACATTCCTTTTCAGACATAACGGCGGAATTTTCCAGGACTATTCAAGATCAAAACTTACATGACTCACTTTTTAGGAGGGAACTTCAGGATAAAAGAGAACCCTGATGTGCGTAATTTTATGACTGAAATTAAAATATCCAGGGAAATTAACCGGAAACCATCTTTTCCATTAGCCCAATTCCATCCATTTTATTTGCAACTGTAGTATTTTAATGTGTTGCACGAAATAACACCATTGAAATACGAGCTGAATGTATTGAAATAAAGCTCAACAGTCATTTACCATTGGTAAACAAGCAGAACTTTGTTAACGTCAACATCCAAACACCAATGTGTCTGTCAATACTTGTAGAAAGCGTAACTCCTGAGAATAATTCAACACATGCTTATTTCTACTGTTTTTTTTTCTTAGGGAGAAACCACATAGAGAGGAGAATATAATTTTCAATCTACGGCACTCTGTAACATGTTTGAAGTGTAAAAATATTTGACCTGTTTTGCAGATTGCCTACAGAAACGTAAGTTGGAGCGATAGGTATTTGACTTCAGTGAGCAAGGCTTAAAAGCAGGGTATTTGAAACTGCTTTCTAGGAAGGTTCTGCTCTTCCATAACCAAGGAGTACATGAACATGTAAGTGTTGAAAATGCATTAAGGCGCAAGAATTCTTAAAATTTTGACACTCCGAGTCAATTATGTGTGTACTGACCAATGCAAGAGCAATGTTCACTTGAAAATGTTTAGGCAGAGGAAAAATATGGCTATGTGCCTAAGGTAATGACTGGAAATGGATCAGTTCCGTCTATCTGAAATTGGGCTTGTCCGTTGCCAATGACAGCGGCTGCAGCATTCTGGATAGCTTCAATGGTTGCACGCTGGCTGGGCATCAACTGCACATCTGTCTCTTGGACGCTGTCTTGGAAGGAAGTCAGCTGGTCGATGTTGGCATAGACGTATGGTTCACAGAGTACGTAGCTGATGGATTGACCTGGGGAATCTGCCTGAACGTCTTGAGTGACACTTGCCTGAAGAGTGATTTGGGTTGTCACAGCAGGTGGTGGGTGCTCAGTCAGATGGTGTCTCTCCAGGATTTTTGGTCGCATGAAGCCTCGGTTGCAGTCTGCACAGCGGAAGGGGAAATCCCCGGTGTGGACTATCTCATGGTCTTTCAGGTTGTCCTTACGGTAGAAGCCTTTGTTGCAGTGCTGGCATTTGAAGGGGTATGAGACCTGATGAGTCTTGATATGTTCAGCAAGTTTATCCTTGCGAGAGAATGCCTTGTCACAACCAGACCAGTCACAATTGAATGGTTTTTTACCTGAGTGCACAGTCACTATGTGTCTGTTCATCTTGTTGCGGAAACTGAAGCGTTTGTCACAGTTTGGGCACTGGTAAGGCCGGATGTTATTGTGTGAGAAGGTGTGCTTGTTTAGATCACGCTTAGTCTTGAAGTTCTGGCCACACACCTCACACAAGTAAGCGCGCTCTGCCTGGTGGGTGACCATGTGCATGCGAAGTTGCCTCTTGCTGACTTGGATCTTGCCGCAAACTTCACAAGGATGGATATGGCTCTCCTGCTTCATGTGCCTATCTAAGCTACCCTGACTAGGGAATTTCACCCAACACTTGCTGCATTTATAGCTCATGTGCTTGTAGTAGTCCCTCATCTTCTCTTTGCGAAGGTTGTCCATGGTTTCTGGCGTGATCAGCCGTCGTTTTACACAGCCTCGACAACCGCACCTGAATGTATTCGCTGCGGGGTGTGAGACGATGTGAGCCTTGAAGTCCTCTAGCTTGGCAAAGATCAACCTGCATGCTGTCTCTCGGCACTGGAATCTCTTCACCATATTGTGCACTTGCAACATGTGCTTGGGGAGGCTGGTGCGGCTGAACCAAGTGTAGCAAGTCTTGCACTTCAAATCCCGAGGGTTTAGCTTCTTGTCGCCTCCATCAACAAACCTTGGCTCCTGTTCAGTATGAGCTTCTCCGTTTTTTGCCCCCGTGCCTTTTGAGAGTAATGAAACATCACAGATCTCAGATTTCTGTGTGTCTTGTTCCATGACTCCAGAGTCACTGGATGTCAGTAGCTGTTGGTTCTGCTCCAGCAGACTGGTCTCACCTTGGATTTGGGTTATGAGGGCCAATGCTTGAAGGTCCACAGTGGAAGTATAATCAACTTTATCAACATCAGCCATCATTGTATTGATGTTAACAGAGGATGACATTCCTTCAGTGGAAGTGACCGCGCCTTCTGGCCTGGACCCTGTGGATTGATCAGCCCAGCTGGCTTGAGCTTTCACCCAGATCCGATGATTGTCGACATGGACTGTGTGGTCATAAGACTCTCTTGATTTGTGCTGGCATAGTGGGCAGATGAAGCGGTTCTTGTTGATGCATCGCACTTGGTGGCGCTTGAGTCCACGTTGATACATCTTTTTGTTACACTCTGGGCATTTGACTTGTGCTTTTCCTGAAGCACTGTTCATTTCTTGTCCATCACCTATTTCATCTTTATCACCTTCCTCCATCATCTCCTCTTCACTGTCTCCACTGCCACCATTGAAACCATCATCATCCTGCTCCCTGATAACGTCTTCTGTTGCATTCCTGGGTCGTTTCTGCCTCCTTTGTGTTTTTGGTTTGCCTTCTGATTGTGTGATCTTGGCAGAATTATTCTTTTCTTCTGTGGTGAGTAGCAAAAGCTTGCCTACAATATCCCCTTTGTTGCTATGACAACTATGTATGTGAGCAGTCAAGTCTTTGGCAGTGAATGTTTGGAAACTGCACCTGGCACATTTCCGCCGTCTACTAGACGGGAGATCTGTTGTCTTGGAAACTGGTGGTACTGCAGTGTCACGGTGGTGTTTTCTAATGTGAGCAGCACAAAGTGATTTGCTGTTGAATGACACGCTGCAGTGTGGACAAAGTATTGGTTTTCGCTTCTTGCTAATGGCAAGTCCCTTGGGTGGACGCCCCCTCTTGCTCCGACAAGTTGACTGTTGCAAAAACTCCAACGCTGCCCCACTCCTCATTTTGTGAACCTCCATGTAATGGCTGAAGAGGCCATCACTGTTTGATGTGGTTTCAGAGCAAAACTTGCACATCACAGCCTTGATGCTGACCACACCTGTTTCTAGGGATTCAGGGGAAGAAGCAGACTGTGGTGATAATGCTTGCTGATCCGTAATTCTTTTTCTCTGTTTAGATTTAGTCAGCTGTTGTCCTGCTGGTTTTAAAGTTTGCTGTCCTTCAGATCCTAGCTTTTGACTTACGGACCCAGAAGCATTTTCTTCAAGTGTTGATTTTTGTCTAACTTGGCTTGTGTCTGTGTCTTTAAGGGATATATCTTCAGTGGGACTTGTAACCTCAGTTTGATATGTTACGTCTTCACTTTCTCTCAGTGTGTTCGGGATGTTGGATGAATCAGAGCTTACTGTTTTTTCGTTAGATGAGTTCTCAGTACTATCACAACCAACACTAGGACTGTACACTATTCCTGTTGTTGCAGAGAGAGCATTTCGGCTTAATGGACCCAGGATTCTCTCAAGGACTTGAATCAACATCCGACTCTCCCCAAGCTCCGAAAGCTCTGAGGATACGTCTAATTGACCCATTAGTTGTCCTCCCTGGAGCACTGTGAGGACATCTTGAAGTCTTGGAAAGGATGCCTGAGGATTGTACTCCGGGTCGCTGGGTACAAGACCTTGATTGAGACTATTCTCCGGAGAGGTTGTGGATGCTGTTGATCCCCGCATTGTTTCCTCAGCACTGTCCTGTACTGTTTGCTCTGTAGTGAAGATTAAAAATTGGCAACTTATTATAACAATAACAAATTAATAATTTTCTTTATTATAACAATAGCAAATTTGTTAAATCAATATCTTCAAGATGCAACTTGATCCTTCAGATTTTATTTGTAAGGTAATTTTTTTATGGTTCTTGATGTCACTATTACAACAGCAACTGTGTTAAAACCTCTGAAATCACTATAAATGAATCTGCCTGTGAAACTTATTTCAGAGCCTCAAATACTTCTGATTGGAAATTTTTGTGAAACCAAAATCCAGCTGCTTGGAAATTGAAGAAATTAAAAAATGCACGATTTTCACTGAAAGGCAAATGCGAGGTAAAGTACTGACCTACTTATGCGAAATTCAATAACAGGGTTTTCTCACCAGATGAGCCTATTGGAATTTCAGGGAGTAGGGAATGCCTCTGCTGTTGATTTTCCAGTGGGCGTTGTTTGGTTTTGCGACATGACTGGCTTTTCTTGTGCTCCATAAAACTCTCCATATTGGAGAAATTCTCCTTACAGCGACCACAGGAGAAGACATCCTCTTCATCATCTGAGGTTGACAGATGAAGAGAAGATTGATCAAAGAAATGATACGGAGAATGTAAGATGTAAACTCTAGGAAGGAGACTGGTGAGGGGAATATTGAAGGAAAGTTTATGATTGATGTTGAACCTCTACAAGGGGTTACTCAAATCTTGATAATGCTGAAGATGACAAGGATGACAGTGGTGAATTCATGATGGTGGTAAATTAAACAAGTCATAATGGTGATACAGTGATGATGATGAAGACAGCAGTGGTGAGGATGACAGTGATCAGAACAGACTTCAATGACAGCAATGATCACATCGATAATGAAAATGATTGAGAATGACTTTACTTGGGTTTAGATAATCAAGGTGGTCACATGGGTGTGGTAAGTTGTAACATTGATGATAATGTAGCTCTATTGTAGATACACATTTCACATGACAATTATACTCACAATGTGTCTTGCACTCAAATAAAGATGATTGGAAGCCTAAATGTACCTAGCATTTCCTACCTGAAGAATCTCGGTTCATGATGGCCCTGGATCAAGCCTGTCTCGAAGCCAGGAGGAAATAATATATCTCGCCGGAGTTATGGAGGTCACTTGGGGAGCTGTAAGCATGATGAATCGTGAACGTAGATTGTGTTTATAATAAATTGATGTATAATGTGGTTAAGTCAGCAGATCAGATGAGTTTAAAATAAAAGTCAGAAAGAGTTCCATATCTGGACATCACTTGACACCTTGTACACAGTATGAGACTGGTCTGAAAAATTCAAACAAATTGGAAACAAAGTGTTTTCTAAGTAAATGTTTTAATATTCGCACTGTTAAATTTGACTTTCATAGTAGGACCCTACATGTTATCACTTTCTGATGGATGGCTAACAAACCACTGCAAGGGAAAATCAGTGATGTCTGTATATGGACTCTTACGTCAAAGCCCTTGGAACTGTGCTGCATCAGTAACAATCTCATCATGCTCAGTCGTACTCATATATGAAAATTATAAAATGTATGTACGTATGGAAAACAAGAAAAAAAGTAATGTAGGCTTAGGCCTTTATTGTTTACTGTTTCGACTTAATTTTTTTCAGTATTTCATTATCTTCAATTCTGCCTCTACAAACTGGGGTTTCAAATTTAAATCGTTGGTTCTCATACGAATATAGGCCCAACACACTCGATACATCCAATGCGGGCTAACCTCAGGCCTATCAACGCGACACTGCACAGCTCAGGATTGGCACCCCTTTTCCTAACTGCACCCCTTGACCGGGGGGAACCTCGCTAAAACAAAACGGGCCCTAATTTTACGACCAATTATCTTCTAAAAATCACCATTTCTAGTGTGTGTATCGCAGTAAAGTTCTGTCGGAAATACTTAAGGTATTACAAGAAATGTGTTTCGAAAACTGGTTGCTTGTTTCATGACAAAGTCCGGAAGAAAATCGATACAAACCTCGAAAATATACGACTTGCGACACATGTAGCGCTTGACGTGCATGAGAATGCAATATGGCGTCCAAACGATATCGACGTGGGCGCCCTTCATCGGCTTTGAAAAGTGCGGCACCTTCCATTTTACACACGGGGTTGGAATGATTGTCTACGCAGTCAACATTATCTCTGGAACTCGCTTAGCTTAGAATAATTCGTTCCACAAAGTCAATGATGATTCAATGAATAGATAAGCATACCACTTATCCCAATTGATGGAATACCAGATAAGTGCCAGAACAGCAGCACCCGACTTCAAATACCTGTCGAGAGTGGGGGTAGGGAACTTGGTCGAGTCTGGGGCGCGGCGCAGACGCCTGATCATTATGAGTTTACTACACGTACCGCTAGGCAAGCTTTACGAACATTTGAGTCTAAAGCAAACAAAAGCCATCACAAAACCACGAAAACCTTTAAAGCTTTTTATTTAAACCTCATTCCCCCAAATGAATGTACACAATTTACATAGAGAAGTTAATCAATACACGAATGGCTTCAATCTTGGAACTACACGTTCTGGTCTCCTCAGTGTGTTCGCCTACGCTTTCTTTTTCTCTAAAAAAGTTGGTTTAGTTTCAGACTGATGTAACACACTTTCCTGCAATAAAAGTAAATCCTCCACGAAGAGAGACAATTGTTACAAGAGACTTTGTTGTATTAACAAGACAAGATCCGTCAGCTTGACGCTAAACAAGAGGATGCGCAGTGTAGCGCCACGTGGTATGACGAGTCGACCCGTCAGTTTTTTAGCCAAAAGATTTTGGGTCTTGCTCTGAATTTCACAGCGCTGACGCAGACCACAGTTGCACCATAACGGCAATCCTACGTTTTACTGAACTAAAAACAACCAGCAAAATTAAACTCTTCGAATTTCAACTAATTCGACTTTACCACTCTTAAACAAAATACTAACCATCTCTATAATTGCCTCAAATTCAGTTGCGACATAATCTTGCACCTACTTCCGTTTTCCACCAACACCACAAAGCGACACGGGCGAGTACTAATCTGCCTGTCTTATTCATAATTAATTCGACAATAGATAAATAGCTGGTTTTTGTCATCTTTAAAGCAAAAAGTGCGAGATCGAGAGCGTGTGTAGTGCAGATAATTACAGCATGCACGCCCCATTCAATGTACTGTATATACTTCTTGAAATCACTACTGGCGATTAAAGCGAAAGCCACAAGGGTTCTCCGTGCTTCATTCTTGACTCACTTAGAGAGATATCGGAACTGATTTAGCAGAAAAGCCAAATGCCTAGGCTAACACAAATTTTAATCATACTTTCAGACACAACAAGAATTTGCTTTCAGCACTAGAGTTGACGCCGATCATGAAACAAATATGATTTTGGAAGAATAAATAAATTACAATATTATACGATACACTGTCACTTTATGGTGCCGCTGTATTTGTAAGAAACAAACTACATGTAAATATACTTAAGACAATTCTGAATAAATAATTAGCATCAATATACATGTACAATACACCTTATTAATTGAACAAAAGCACGACAGAAGAGAAAGAGGATTAGAGTTTTTACATCTTATTACATTTCATGAATAATGTAATTACACATGCAGCCAAGGAAAGACGCAGTTGTCAAAACGTTGTAGAAAACTGCCACGTATACTGCATAGTGTGTAGCATTCGAAATAAAGGAAATTTTATAAAGTGATATAAGAGTAGTTTCAGCTAAATTTTGAACAAAAATGTACACATCTGTATAACATCCGTCAGCAACAAAAACTCTTCGGCGTCGACGATCATTGGGCGGTTTAACAATCGGCAACATAAACGACTATCGCCACCATTTCATAACAAACATTGTGTTTTTCTTGACCAGGAACGAGCGCACCATGGAAAGAAATCACTCTTTATGAATATTTCAAGCATGCTTTCTAATATTAACCTCGCTCAAATGATACATTGACGTCGTCATTTTAATTGTAAGTTCGGTTTGTTTTGGTTACAGTGTCTGTGGATTTTTTTAGTTTTAGTTATTGGTCTGCATAGTACATTGATATAGTTTTTTCCGACACAAGTTGGCAAAACTGATGTTGTGACGTAGCCAAAAAAATTGTTCATGGAACATTTAAGTATGTGGAATGTTTTTTCCACAATGATATTTGTAGAAGTAATCCAGAGTAAGTTGAACTATTGCTGGCTCTTATGTAACAAGGCCAGTCACACCACACGGCCGCGCACGTAGCTTTTAAATTAACATCGTCGATTGGGGGTAGACAGTTGACTATCCCGAACCTCCAATTGTTGACAGACTGGGTATAGAGCAAGGAATATAGATGAAATCAGGTGATTGATCACATGGCATCAAAATGGAATCGATGAGACTCCTGTCTCTTCTCTCTGTCGTCTTCTCTCTGTATTTCAAAGAGCAAATAACACCAATGTTTAATGAGACAGATCTTAAATGGTATACGCGTCCATGTGTAATACCGGTGGCACTGAAAACTGCGCAAGAAATTACTTCATCAATCTAAAATATTCACGTTAAAAGCCAAGAAGGCCTGGCGCATCAATTGAGTGGATATTAAATACTTTATTTTACAGTAAATATTCACCTTTTCCAGGAGTTGCAAAATACCGACAATAAGTGCCATGAAAATACAGGTTCCCACCAACACGCCACCCGTCACTAACACCGATCTACCTGGCGTAATAATCAACACGCTTTTCCACCTGAAGACAAGAGAAAAACAGGAAATTGTGTTTTTTTCCCCTTAAATTCGAACTAGTCCATGTCTTCAACCGAAAGACATGACAAAGTTCCTTATATTCGGAAAGCCATCAAAAACAGTGGGAAGCAACTAAAATTCAGAAAATTCTTAATGCCACGACGCTGTGAATAAAGGCAAGTTCATATTAGAGGCGAATTTCAAAGCGAGGTGAATTCGACATGAGAAAGATTTGCTGCAAAATTTCGCTCGAGTTGAAATTTTTTTTTGCAAATTTGCAGCGTGAATATTTTATCTGACGTCACAAATTCGCGCTTGTGTTCGCTTTCGAGTCAGGTGTGAACCGGCCTTAACATGGTATGTGTATTGACAAATATGAAACTCGATAGGGCCGAGATAAATGATTCCTTAGAAGCTTTAATTGGATTATTATTGTTATGAAGATTGACTTGTTCGAGCCTCATGGAATCATGGGAAACTTTGCTGTCGGTTTCGTTGAGTTTTATCTGAACACCTGTCTCCATTATTCTCGGATTTCTGCCAAGGAGGTGTCGAGTGGAGATGCTGGCTTGATCCACAAAACCAAACAGAATTAAATGACAAGACCTAAATCACATTACGTCTTCTTCATGAAGATTCACTCGAAATCTTTTCACCCACACTGGCTGAACGGATACAAAACATTTCTTTAAACGCCAAATTCCAGGTTACGCATGCTTGTTGACGATGCTAACTGCAGGTGTGATTTGTCCAATGAACAGACGAGCTCACAAATAATCAGGGGTGCATAAAAACGCCGGAAAATTCCCGCCAAATACTAGTCCACGCACGGTTGCCATTTGATCGACACCACTAACAGAGGTACGGCCAACTACCAGCAGGTTACAGCAAGTCGTCATAGGTGCCTTTCATCAGAAGGCATTCTCACCGAGAATTGAAACATGGCTCGCACCAAGCAAACTGCCCGCAAGTCCACAGGGGGAAAAGCCCCTCGAAAACAGCTGGCTACCAAGGCCGCAAGGAAAAGTGCCCCCGCCACGGGAGGTGTCAAGAAACCCCATCGTTTCAGACCAGGTAAAAGTTGTCCCTAAAAACTGCAAATTCCAAGCCAACATCTGTAATGTGTATGAGGCTTACTGGATCAGTTTTTGGGTTGGGATTTTTTTCTAAAATCAGGCTTCGTTCCCTTTGAAATAATGTGGTTTTCAGTAACTATTTTCCTCGTTTGGTTAAAAAAAATACTTGCAATAAAATAATACACCCCCATCCCCCATGTGCAATTTTGGTATCAGTAGCTCAGTATAGACTGTGGGTTTTTACCTTGTAAAAAACAGAACGTTTCAGACTAGACATCTCCTTAAAACTTTTCCACCTGACTTTTTGCTCTCCCAATTCAGGCACCGTGGCTCTTCGCGAGATTCGTCGCTACCAGAAAAGCACTGAGCTGTTAATCCGAAAGCTACCCTTCCAGCGACTGATCCGCGAGATCGCTCAGGACTTCAAGACCGAGCTGCGCTTCCAGAGCTCGGCCGTGCTGGCTTTACAGGAGGCGGCTGAGGCATACCTGGTCGGTTTGTTTGAGGATACCAACCTGTGCGCTATCCATGCCAAACGAGTTACCATCATGCCTAAGGATATCCAGCTAGCTCGACGAATCCGTGGGGAGCGTGCCTGAAGACTGACCAGGACATGTCACTGTTTGGCCCCGTGAGGAAAACGATCCTTATAGTGTACACTTGCTTGGAAACCACAGTTTGGAACGAGTTCCATGTACAGACGCCACTTGACACCCGGTGCACATACCTTATGAATCTGGTGTGAATCCTTTTTCTAAGTAAACGATTTGGGTTTTTCCTTCCTAAGTTGAACTTTTCTGGACATGTTTTTGCTTTCTGATGGCCAACAGGTCACTGTAGGGAATATTTACTGGCGTCTGTGCATGGAATTCTTCCCTATAGGTGAATAAGCCTGTAGTTTTCCTACTAAAAATGCCAAGAGTTTCTACATGACTATCGAGAAGAAAGGATCTTGGTATATTTGGGCTCCTAGACAGTGTTCTACATTTTTATACACGTGTAAAGATTTAACACTTATGTAATAAGTTCATATTATTAAATACACATGATTTCAGGCAATAAATGGATTGTTATGCATTCAACCGATAGTAACAAATTAAAAATAAGCATTCACGTAATTAAAGTAATAAATTAACAGATAAAATGTGTAAACGTCATTGCGTCGTCCTGTGATTTTAAAGCGGCTGCACATATCTTTGTAAATATGATTTGATTAAATGTTTGTTCCTGTAAATAAAGGTTGCATAATTATTGTTCTGCAAATGTGCTTTTGATGGGATTCAAAAATAGTTTGGGGCAAAAAACAAGCTCAGAAAGCGGACTGTGGGGATGAGATTCGTGTGCTCTTCTCCAGGTGAAATGTGCAGAACACAAGCAATTTTCACCAGTTATTTCAAAACACATGCAGTTATTTTCCACACCTTGTCCATTCAATTATCCATTGTGGGGTACTTCATCTTAATATGTGCCTTCCTAGGACTTGAAGCCCCCCCCCGCCCAGACAGGAATTACAAGTACTCTGTAACATTCAGATAAAAAATGGACACCCATATTGCATGTAAAAGGCTAGCATAAAGACACATCCGTTTTTGCCATTTGAATCCAAAACCACTATCTTGCAAACTTTGGAAATTTAATGTGGCTAAATGTGGTAATTGTCATCAGTGACCATGCCAGGACAATACTTGTAGATTTTTGAGTACCAACTTAATATTTCTGGGAGTTGAAACCAGACACAGAACTACATGTGGTATATTTTAAATTTGTTTCCTTTTGAAATCTTTCTGATTATATGAATGAAAGAAATTGGATAAGGGCTTTACTGTACAGAAAAATTCCTATCAGAAAGTTTACACTATATGAAGGTTTACATTCAATGTCACACGACACTTTTGGCAAATAACCCCTAAACAGGGGTCAAGGGTCAAAGTTCAATAAAGGGGGCAACAAAATCTCCACACACATCTCTGCATGAGCTCTCTTTATTCATGTTGATTATTTCATCATCTGAATTTTACTTAAATCTTTGTGTTTTAGCAATCAAATTGCCAAAGTTATGAGAAATTTTCATGATCAAATACTAGTGAATTTTTAGCTCTGAGGACGTTAAAACGGAAACATCAAGATGAAGGAAACCGATCAGAAAGTACTTACTCTTCTGGTGTGTCCAAAGGTTGTGGTATGACAATAACTTCCGAGTTGGGAATAACGGATGTAAATGTATGTTGCCTGGGGTTCTGTCAAGAACAGAAAAATCCAACAAAATGAGTTACTGACCAACAGAATGCTTGACAGTAGTTGAACTTCCTATGATCAGACATCCTGACTTCATTGCCTTCATTTCTTGCACTACCATCTGCTTCTTCTAGTTTAACCTAAAAGCAATTTCAGCCGATTGAAACTTTTAAACATCTGAAAGTGGTCCACAAAAGACAAGTCTTTAGTCAATTGATGAACTGCATTTAGAAATATGGATGCTTATGAATCCAAGTGTACCTCTTCTCGTCTTGTTGTAGGAGCTGGAACACTGACTGTCAGGTAGTCAACGTAATTTGGGTTTTGGCCAAGACCCAGAACCACGTACGGCAGCTGTAAGGAGAAGTGGGCTGACTGATACAACTGTGCAGCTGCAGATCACAAAGTGGGTGGAAAAAAGTTGAGACTTTTCAAATCACTCCTCCTTCTCCAAGATCAGGTTGGTAATCAGGTTGGTCACAAGCCATTCAAACATAAGTCAAAATATTCTTTAGCCACTATTCGCTACTGTTGAACTAATTGTGATACAATGTAACTGGTAAAAAAAATAATTTTATATCAACTGACTGGTTGATTTCACCCTTGCCCTTTTGAGTGGACAATCAATCTTGGTCCAATCAAGAGTGTTGTCTGTCTTATAACCTTTACATCTTGCGAAAACTGAATGCTAGTCTTCCATTAGTGACAATTAAAAAGTGCATACCAGCGCCAAGTTGCTGGGTACCAGTTGAGCTGGTCGTTATGTAATGAACAAATGGACCAGGCTGATTCACACCATACGGCTACAGTGAAAAAGTCAAAAGAAATGTTATTTCTGCAATATTTCATGAAATGGACACACTGTCCACACCAAAATACATGCATTGAAAACAAAATTTCAACTCAACACTTATCCTTGGTTTAAGATTATAATATTCCAAACTGTTTAATAATGTTACATTTAATTCAAGCTTTTCAAATGTTACTACCTTTGTTGAAAGGCCATTGCAGTCATTATAGCATAGACCACTCAAAACTGTCAATAAAAATCAGACAGTATAAGGATATTTTGTGGCAAAATGAATAAAACCTAAAAGTTTGTTGCAAGTTTCAAGTGAAATGTGAGATATATGAAATATAAAATGAAGTCAAAGTGGTGGAATCTTGCGTAGTGTGGCGACAAGGTTTAAAATGCACCGGTCTGACCAGGTCAACTTACTGTGGGTTTTGAAGAAGTAGGCATCAACAGCAAAGTTGTTCTTAATCACATGTATATGAGGTGTTTCATCCAAGTTGATCTGGCTGACGACAAGAATGTCCAATATCCCCTAAACACACAGGAAATGAAACACAGCTCAATGCAGAGCACCTGTATTGCATCCATATGAAATGTCCCGATATATGTTTTGCATGCTCCCAAATCTATGCAGACTTATCTGCAAAGCCGGCTCCAGATTTTTTTTGGGGGGGGGGAACAAGTAAACTGTCTTGCCGGTGAACTTTTGTAATGACTGATTGCACCTGTCCAGTCACAAATCAGCAGCTGCTCAGAAATGAACTTGCTCTGTCAATTTCAACAAGCTCTGTTTATGCACTTAATATTTTCACTCTGATTGGTTTAGAAAAAAATCCTCATTGGTGTTTATTTTTTAGAGGGGGCATGGGTCCCATTGGCCCCCCTGGATCTGCTATTGCTTATTCATGCCATAACTTGATTGAATGATTGTCTTCACTAACAACAATGTCTCCACCTATGCACAGGACAGGTAAAGACTATCAGGACAGGCAGTCTTTGCTTGTACAAACTTTAAAATCTCAATTTATTTCATAAATCTTTAACACTGGAAATTCAAAACTATCATGCATACACAAAAAAGCACAAAATATCATGTCATTGGTTGAGGATTATTTTCTCCAACTGTGGTAATGTTTTGCCGCCCATCCAGCTAGTGAAAATTTGGTGGTGTAAACTTAACACTTACTGTGTGTGTTAAATCCATGAATGTAGCCAGGATGGGCATCTGAATGTTATTGAGGGCTTTGCTGTCCCACACTGCCGACAAACTTGTCCCGTCTTTATTTTCAAGGATGACAACTCTTCTCGTGCTTTCACAAATCAAAATACAAAATGTTGTTAGATGCAAAGACAGGAGGATGGTGTTAATTTGAAGTTTGGATTTTGTGACAAAAATGAATGATTGATTCTTTGATTAAAAAACAACTATTCTGAATGGTCATGATATTTTTAGATTATCAGATGTGTTCAGCTGTCAAGTTTTGGGACATTAGACCCATCAAATCAGACAACAGACATCAGAATAGGACAACTTGCAATATTTGATTAATTGAAATTTTGTTAGCCTACAATCAATTTTCTGTCTCTTCACAGCAGATTCTGACAGATTTTCCCACTGGGGTTCACGTTTCATACCCAGGATATCTTACAATATTTTAGGTAAAACCAGTTGAGAAAGTGCTAGCTTTCCAACTCCATGCATGAAGAGAAGATTTATGCTATGTGCCTAATAGCCAATACACTGTGCAATAATGCACTAGTTCACACCTGTACTATACATGGTGGCTGTACTTTCAATTTTCTTCTGAATGTGCACAAAATCAAGCCACATCCAAATCACTGTGGCTTTGGCTTAGAATTACACAATTACACTCTTTCAGCGTCCTCTGAAAGGAACTGGCTATGGTTGCTATCATAGACTCCTGTGTAATACCAAGCCACTACCAAGTGATTCAGACATGGCTTCCCAGTGTGCAATGTTACCACTGAGAAAAACAGTGGAATGAAGGGAGTGACATCAAGGTTCTTGAGGCTTGAATCACCTCAGCATCTCACTACATCCCAACTCTGTGTCTTACCCATTGCTCTTTAAGCGTAGAATGCAGACAATGTCTGGATAGGAATCCATGTTGGTGTCCCCAACTCGTACAGTGATGGGTAAGTAAGCCCATCTAGACTTTTCCAAAGGAGGGACAAATCCCCATGTCTTTCCTTCCGCAATGTTTGCCAAATCTAAATACAGACGCCACTGAAAGTATTAAAAGGGGAAAAAAGCTTTTTACTGGGCCATTTTCAAACCTAGTACCAATAAATATACCTCATACATATTCATGACCATTGATCAAGGTCTGCATTCTCACTGGTCTATTCATCATTATGTGCCAGTCACTATTTTTGCTGTTTGCTGGGCATGCACATAGAAATTTGTTGTTTCGGCTGGTTCCCATGAACAGTTTACTGAAACTGTTGTGTAGATGAAGTATGCATTCACTAGCACCACGCAAACATGTAAGTCCTTGATGCATGTTATTCCGTTGTGGTTGTGCTAGCTTTTCTTTGCTCTTGATTTTTAATGGCAACTGAGATATGGTAAAACAAAGATACCATAGTTTATTTCAGGTAGATTGTTGCCTTGGCCCTTGGGAACAAGTTTGTCAACTTGGAAAGCTAAAAATCCACTACTGGCCTTCAAACCATGTCATATCTGTCTACTACCAACAGTTTTTAGAGAAAAGATCCGTTAAGAGGGCGGTTTAATAATGTTTGTCCAATATTCAAACATTACATAAACCAGTTTGAGAGGATTTCAGGAAAATAGCAAAATCACCCAGGGTTGAGGTAAACATCTTGGACATTTGGACTGATGTGGTACTTGGACAGTTGGCATCTATATTTCTCAAGAAACAAAGTAAAAGGAATTCTAGAGAAAATATGATGGGTATCCCATAATAGTCTGCTTTTGCACAAAAATAGCCACGTGTGTGATTGGTTTACCATCTTGGTTGCTCCGTCATACAAATAAATTCGACTTTGTTGACATTTATCATCCAAGCACACAGGTAAAATGTGATCAATCTTGCCATCTGCATCTGTAAGCATGCACATGAAAAGAAAGAATACTAAGTTTTGTTTGTTAAATTGCAAAAGTTGGATTATGTCTAAAAACAGCTGAGCTTTTTCTAGTATCTAGTACAAAGAGGGGAAAAAGGGCTTTAGGACCAATATCATAATATTTATTTAATATTAACATAGACATAAATTACCAACACGTAGTCTGAAAAACTGGTTTGTACGTACATACGTACGTAAGACTGTAAATGGTACTCCAAGTGTCCTCCGGCTAACTCCCAAATTTTTCAAGTTTCACCAGTTTAGAAACCTCCCCCTAACATTCTTCTTGTTACAACAGATTTTGCTCTATGATAATTATAATCTAAATGCAACTTAAAAACAACTACACCTTGTTAAAACATGAAACCAAAGGCTTACTCATATCAGCAAATGAAGATTGTCCAACGTGGGTGATTTTCTTCTCTGGTGGTAGACCGTAACCCCCTGTCTTCTTCCAGTCATCTGAATCCCGTAACTCCCATCTCTCAAACTGGTTCTTATGCTCTTCAGAGAGGGAAGTCACGATGAGGTCAGTAGCATAGTCACTGGTTACATCCAAGAATGAGTTGGAGTTGGGGATACTAAGCGGAGCGTCTTCACCTTTAAGTAGTACACTGATGAACTGATCTTTGTTTGTGTCACTAGAAAACGGCAAATTTATAAAGAGTTTCTAATTTGTCGGGTGCCCGGCAGAAGGGTGTAAGTGCACTTATGCCCTTTTGCCGGGAAGCATCATCATAGCAGAAAAAATGTTCCCGGCAAAAGGGCGTAAGAAACACACTCTCTTTATTTAGTAAAAACTAATATAATTTACTACAAAATCAACCTGGGCTGTACAAAAAGTAACCTTTGAACAACTTATTAAAGGACTTGGGCTTTTTTTTCTACTTTTGCCAAGAAATCTTCATGTTTCATTGAAATGCAATAGTTTATACTTTCATCCTTTTGCCGGGAAAACTTTTTTTGCAGTGATCATGCTTCCCAGCAAAAGGGCCTAAGTGCTTACGCCCTTCTGCCGGGCACACAACAAATTTATCTTAGGTAGGCCTTTTCTCTAGATCATGCTAGATGTACCTGAAGAATCCACTGTAGTATCAGATACGCTGATGGATTTATCGGTTAAAGGGGAACAGATTTGTGAAACCAAAAGTAAAAGTTTCTTGCATGAGCAACGTTCAACCTCTTTGAATAATGGCCCCCACCTCCAGGTATACCCTGTGCTTTTTCTCAGTTATTGTTTGATCTCAACATTAAAAGAATCATACCAATGTTGTGACTACAATGCATTTTTGGATGTGAATAAATTACTTGATAGTAACGTGGTTTGTAGGGGCACCATGTGATCTATCTCTTCCCTGAGCAGGTGTTCTAATAACAACTGGGGGGCTTGATGTTTCGAAAAGCTTGCTCTGTTCGTTTTCAGGAGAACAGAGAATAAGATGCTTGATACTTACTTGCAAGTCCAAAACTGTCTGACTCCACTTGTATTTACACCAAACAAATCTGGAATCATGTCAGCATTATAGCTGTGTAAACAGAAAACAGGAGCGAGAACAAAATGTTACTGGCATTTCTTTAGCATTTTACTGAAAAAAAAAATGAACAAAATTCTGACTCTCAAAATCTGACTCTCAAGAAAGTGAAGTTTGCTTTTCTCCTCCTTTCCTTAAACCCAATTTATACTATGCCGAGGATGTACACACATACTTACTCCATTAGTAACGGCTGACCTTGTAAATCATTGCTTACTGTTGTAATTGGCCCTGTCAAAGAAATAAGATGGTCATGGTCAACCTTGTGAAATCAAAGGCTCTTGATAACTGCAAAGGTTAATAATTATTGTAAGGATCCATGTGCTTTTCTCTCAATTTGAAATTCAAAAATCACACCTAAAGAGATAGTCACAACATCAGCAAATCTCTATCACCAAATTAAACAGCTCAATGATTAAAAAAAAAAGAAAATGACTTTTTTCCTTACCCAATTTGTATTTTGCATTTTGTCCCCAATAAACAAATGCAGAGGTGGGCACTCCTTCATTAAAAACATAGCCATTAGGTTTTGTAGTGATCAGCACATCCATCTGGGAATCCCCATCAAAGTCAGCAGGGACAACGCTTGTTATGGTGTCATTGATTCTAAAAGAGGAATAAAATATATGTATGCTGCAAATCTGGAAAGCCTGAACTGCACAAATGTGAAAAATGTACATAAATCCAAACTACACATAAAAATGCAACAATTCCTGAAATCCAGCAACAAGATAAAAACCTAGTTATTAATGCAGTTTGTCTTACCGAATGGACACATTGTGTATTTTCTTTGACAAGGTAACAGACTCGTCCATCTGTTGGAAGTAGATGTCCATGACATGGCCTGGCAAAAATGAAAAGATAAAGACCAAATTGATCATTTGTAGAAATAAAAAGCTGACCTACACTGCGAGGGAAGTTGAAAAAAGGCTACTTTTGACAAGCAATAAACATGATAAATGCACAATAATTTCAAAAACGTAAAAAAAAGGCAAACTAAGAGTCAGTTCACACGTGATAAAATGCTCAAATGTAACCATGGCAAGTACAAGCTTGAAATTTCATGATAAAATTCTGCTGCACAATAAATGCACAAAACGCTGACCGGGCAACGTTGCTGATCAGCTTAAAGTGTTCAGCATGCACATGATGCATGTCTGTATGTTTTACATATTTGATATAGGCCCCCTAATTAATTATATAAAATAAATATGTTTGATCTAGTTATGGAAATTTTATGCACATCTTTCTTTTTTGTATTTGTCATGTTTGTTCATATTCTTCTCCTTTATTTCTTTGCTTCTTTGTGTGCTCATAATCTTCCACTAACGTAACTGATATAAAAACGTATAGTGTTTACAAACCATTTTCTCGAAGAACAAAAACGTCAGTGCGTTTATCCGAGTCAAAGTCACCGTACGCTGCGACGATTCCGTCCGCAGAACCACCTGCAAAAACCTGCTTCGTAGTGTCAGTGAAATCTGCAGTATTCACAGCAAACGGATCGTCCCCAAAGGTACTCGAGAAAAGTGTAAAAGAGAGAAAAATACACCAATAGAAGGGACACATTTTCACATTCATGTCATTCTATACATCATCATGATCATATATATGTTGAATCATCATTCACAATTAAGATCATGAGAAAATTACCTCTAGTCTGTACACCACAATTAAATTGTACAAGCTTATAATTTCAATGAAATGGCAACTAGACTTGGATACTTTAACTGCTAATCGTTTAATTTATCCAAGTTACAAGCAAACCGGTGGATATAAAACACGTTAACTAGTTGTGCGGCTGCGCGCTGTTTGTGTGTAAAAATCCTTTCAAAATGGCGCTGCCCGGTGACTTCATCGGGACGATTCAAGAGGACGAAGAAATACCTGTTGCCTCAGAAGACACGAGTAGCGACGAGGAGGTAGTGTTGTGGAGAAAAACTTGCACATACCTTGATCCTTTCAATAACAATTTTTTCTGTATTTTGTGGTTGTTATGACCTGTTTTGTCGTGCAACTTGAAATAGGACTTTATAAACACACGACACGTTACATATACATGTACACGTGCATACGTACTCACGTGGGTGATACATGTAATTAGTTTAACTTAATGTTAAAGGTGCTTATTTCCGACACCAGGGTTCAGCATGGCGTGAACATGGTGAATGCAATTGCTCTTCTAGTTAGATGAATATGGTGTTGAAGTTTTACCATGTACACTTACTTTGAAATTGTTTTTATCAGTTTTTTCTCTGTTATTATCATCATGATGATCATGTTTTGATTAGATTTACCATGATTACTGACTATAACATTTGACATGTTTAAACACTGAATAGGTTGAAAGTTAATATTTTCTAATAAAGATGTTTACAAGAACTTTTTGGCATGGTGTGAGACCTCAAAAAGAACAGACCTGACAGAGTAAAACATGACAAATAAATATGCTGAATTGTTTTTTTCACTATAATATTTTAGTATAGTTTTTCTATAAAATATTTTTTCTTGTTAATGTTATTAAATTTTAAGAACAGAAGTTAAATTGCATCTACGTACATATACATGATGTAAATTGTACTTGCTCTGATATTGTCAGCTGAGAAATTCTTCCATATCTTGTTTCCTGACTTGATTTTCATTACCAACTGTTAAATAGTATCCAAGAACTTAATATCATTGAAGGGTAAAATTAATTTTACCATCAAAGAGCCAAACAAAAATTATGCATTTTTGTGTTTTCCTTTCTTTTTGTTGATTTTTATACTCAATAGGCTCTCAGGCCAAAGAAATTGTCCAAACTTAAGAGGCAAAAGAAGGGCCAGGAAGATTTTTCACAGGACTTTGTATTCTCAGAGCGTGCCTTTGATGAAAACAGTGCTTGGACCTCAAACCTAATTAAAACTTTGAAGCCCCGAGGCCACACACTGATTCAAACAAATACCTCGTTGGAGCAAAAAATTGCCAAGATCCGAAGTGAGAAGAGAAAAGTAAGTATAGTATAAGTTGTCATTTGTATTACTTCAATTTACATGTAAAGTTGTGTCAAACATCTTTTTCACATTTTTCCTTGCATAGATTGTGTAATAAATTTTTGGACTTCCGATGGCAGCACATTTATTGCCAAGTCTGGTCCTGTTCATAACTTTCCTCAACATTTTAAGCTCTCAAAGAAGCATTGTACGTTTTTCATCATTCATTAATTCTCTTGAGTCATTCTCAAATTCTGGTTAATATTCATAGAAAATGCTAGTAGAAAATTATATTAACCTCATTGATGTTGCAATTTTGCCAACTGCAGAAAAAGGAGTCTGAGGAACTTGACAAAGCTAAAGCAAAAGAATTGGATGTGACAAAGGGAGATCATGCATTTCAAAGTGGTGCAAAAGAAGATAGTAACCATGACAATAGTGCAGATGATGAGGAAGAAGAGATCGAGGATGAAGATATGGGAGTGGAGGATATGACATGGGACCAAATCAAAGTCAAATCAACCAGTGAGAAAAGAATCAAGAGGAAACATAAAAAAGGTCCCAACTTGAAATATTTACCATTTTATTTTTCTGTTTATAATATTAATTTCCTGGTTCCAGTGTATCACATGTAGCAAAATTATACCACTAAAGAGGGCTGAAAAATAATAGGTGCTATTGTCTAATCAAGGGGTTAAATGAGCCATCAAATTCAAGCATTAGTTATTTTATTCTAAAATCAAATTGTAATATTGTTTCACCAAAGTGTGATATAGATGGGTAAAAGAAATTTCTAGTTTAAAGTTAACAAAGTTATTTGGAAATAAAAGTGTCCATTAAAAGTGCAATTTTTTGTTATATTCTCAATGAGTAGATGATTCTGATTCTGATGATGAAGAAACAAAGAAGGCCAAATTCTTTGATGAGGCGCCAGAGCTGGCTGGCTACAGCAGCTTCCAAGAGATGAACCTGTCCAGACCACTTCTCAAGGCAATTAGTTTATCATTCTTTGTATTGTGTCAAGGAAAAACTCATAGTCACTTTTGAAATCTTTGGAACCCCTCCATAGGTGATAAGTGACAAGGTTGGAAATTTGGAGTCAGTTTGTCGAGTGGTGGAATTTACTTTTAGAAAATGCTGTGAATCGCTCTTGTTCTTGCAAGTTCCAAATGGTGAGTTGATAACTTGATGGTATTTTTATACTTGCAGGCCATAACTGCAATAAACTTTGTGAGGCCGACCCCCATCCAGGCTCAGACTATCCCAGTAGCTCTTCTTGGTAAGGACATCTGTGCTTGCTCAGCTACAGGAACTGGTAAGTGGGTTAGTTTGGTTGTTTGAATTGGTCAATGAAAGTCAAGCTACTGCTTAGCTTCCTCAGTTTCAGTGCTGGTTGGTACCTATCCCTGTGCTGTGGACATTGTAGGTTTGGACAATTTTGTAAATTATCATCTGATATTTTATAGACGTTAAAGTGGTGAAGATTTGAGGGGTATTGAGAAGTCAGTGTGAGGCATTGCAACATAAATTTCATTTGAATTCAACTTGAATTTCAACCACTCCCGTTTATCACAGGTAAAACGGCAGCGTTTATGTTACCTGTTCTGGAGCGACTGCTGTATAAGCCCAAGCAAGCATTGACAATCACTCGTGTCTTGGTACTGGTACCCACCAGAGAGCTAGGTGTGCAGGTTCATACGGTTACCAGGGAACTGGCCCAATTCAGCAGTATAGAGTGCTGTCTAGCAGTTGGTATGTGTGACATCAGTGACATGGTGTCTTCGTTGAATTTATTAATCAATGATCGTGATCTAATCATGTAATCATTGTCTAACTGCACAAGCTAAGAAAATGAGTGTAATAGTATTTCTGGAAAAGAGAGAGTATGTCTGGTAGCGCACTGTTGTCTTGGTATTACTGAGATCAAAGCTGGAATCCTGTCAAAGTAGATTTTCTTTTTTTATTTTAGAGTCGAGTAATTTCTGCAGATAATTTATGAAATCATGAAGCAGTTGCACTTTGACCATACGATCATCATAATGATATATTTTTCTTTAGGTGGTGAATTTGAATCTTATTCTTGTAGGACTGTGCTGAATATCTGAATATTCAATCAATTGTCAAATATTCGAATATTGTTTTCGAATTTGAGTATTCGAAAGCAAAATTCATGAAAAGGAAGAAAAATTTTTCTTTTGTTTTAAATGAGAATAATTGCACTATGGAGGCTTGTTTCAAGTAGATTCAAATGAAAAGTGTCAGAAATCTTACAACAATTTAAAAAGTAACTTATTCTTTAAATAATTTCAAAGGAATAGAAATATTCCACAGGGCAAGAATTCTTGTTCACCTCTTAAATCTTGCTAAATCATGGTTGGAGATACTCCTAGATATGAGAAGCTATTATATTGATCATAATGTACAATACCATTGTGTATGTTATTGCAACTGATTTTGTATGTGGTTTGTTCAACAATCTGCCGGTCGGTGCGACGGAATATTCAGATATTCGATCAAATTGAAGGTTGAACATTCGAATAGTGAATTATTCTAATTGACTCCGCCCCATGTTCTTGTTAGTTCACTTTTTTAAATTATAAAATGCTGATTATGAAATCCCTTTCAGGTGGTTTGGATGTGAAGCTCCAGGAAGCAGCGTTGAGGAAAGGCCCTGATATCGTCATAGCAACACCAGGTCGTCTCATTGATCATCTACATAATGCTCCATCCTTTGACCTCAAAGACGTTGAAATTCTCATTCTTGATGAGGCTGACAGGTAAAACCTCAAATCTTATTTTTTCAGTCGTACATTTATAGAGGAAAGCTACCAATTTTTCCAGAATCAGGACAAATTTTATGCTGAAACCATCGAGTTTTTAGAAAGACTTCATACTCATTCTCAATACTACTAAATTGTTGGTTTTATCTGTCTTGTGTCTAATTAGGATGCTGGACGAGTACTTTGCTGAGCAGATGAAGGAAATTATCAGACTGTGTTCTCACAGCAGACAGACAATGTTATTCTCTGCTACTATGACAGATGAGGTATGAAGTTTGCTATGAAATACTGTTAGGTACATTTAGCATTTGTAAACAACACAACTAGCGTGATTGATGATTGTGAATTTGTTCAATTTGCGTTCTTGTACCATTTGTCCTCTCTCCAGCACTTCCAATGAGCCAAAACGGTGTAGGAGACTTCTTTGGTATTTGAAAAGGTGGTAATTGCACACAGCAGTCGTTGCAGATAAGATGCCATCACTGGCTCCTTCCTTTGCTTCGTAATAATGTCTAGAGTATTGCAAAAATGAGATTTGAGAAATCGTGCCTGACTTCTTCTCTTACAGGTCAAAGATCTTGTTGCAGTTTCCCTCAAGAACCCAGTCAAGCTGTTTATCAATGAGAACACTGATGTAGCGTATAACCTACGACAAGAATTCATTCGCATTCGTCCAAACAGAGAGGGTGACAGAGAAGCTGTTGTGGCAGGTGCAACTCTCTGAATGAAAATAAGATTTCCAAAATCAGTGCATTGCATGCTGTTTGGCGTGTGGTCAGAATTTCACAAGATAGAAGTTTATTCTTTGTTTTTATGCTTGTTTTCTAATTTGTGTGCTAAACATAACATCCTATTTCCATTTGGATTGATACAAAAGCACTGATCAGGCTATTTGGGATTGTGAAGAAATGATACGTGCACATTTTTTGAGATAAATATGATTTTTCTCCTTTGGCATTGCTTTGTGCAGCATTGTGCAGTCGGACTTTCCATGATCATTGCATCATGTTTGTACAGACCAAGGTCCAAGCTCATCGGCTGCACATAATCTTGGGACTGTTTGGGCTAAATGTTGGTGAGCTCCATGGCAACTTATCTCAGGCACAGGTGAGCTACAGCAACTCACCCCAAACAGTTGAATGTTAACTTCCTCTCGCTGAGCTTTCAAGTTATCCTTAGTTGTGCTTATGAACTGATGTATTTCCTAACAGTTTGGAGATGCCTGTCATTGCTTGCAGGGTGTGAGTAATAGCTCTCTCTCTTATTTGTAGCGATTGGAAACACTTCGCCGTTTCAAAGAAGAGAGTATTGATGTGTTAGTTGCCACTGATCTAGCTGCAAGAGGACTGGATATTGAGGGGGTTAAAACAGTAAGATTGAGGATCGATATTGAGATCATAGATGTACCCATTTAGTTGTGATTAATGTGGCATGGTACAGTGAGGGCCTGAGATGATGTATTTACCCTAAGTCACCTGTAAGCAGAAAGGAATATGAAATCTTTGTTGCTCCACAACATTTTTGGCAAATATTTAAGTGACATTAATGGCATTTATTACTCGGCAGTGTAGGTTTACATAATCGGAATTTTGTTAATATTGACATTAGTTCTCTACAGATCAGTGACTTGGAACTAATTGTAAGACTCAAGGTCAAATTTCTTCACATCTGATGTAAAATTTCATGATCGTTTCGTATTTATGTTTACAACGCACATTGTGTCCCTCTGTTTTATTTAGATAATAAATTTCACACTGCCAAGTACACTGAAGCATTATGTACACAGGGTTGGAAGAACAGCCAGGGCTGGCAAAAGTGGTCGGTAAGTGCAAGCATATCATGAGATTCATCCTTAGGTTAAATGCTGTTTGGTCTTAGAACTGAATAGTACTTTAACCCTAACCCTACATAATACTACAAATTACTACTTGCAGTAAAATGTAGTACTGAGTGCTGTCGCTTGTAAGAGGACATGACCACATTGTTCTCAGAAGCCATAAAATACAAGCGATAAGACAATGTACCATACAGTGCTGTGGCACTTT